CTTGCGTTTTGTTTCATTTCCTGATACTTTTAAAAAGCTGTCGAACCTCTGAAGGAATTCATAAAAGAGCGACAGTAGTCATTCATTGTTTCTAGGGAAGAGAAATGGATATTTGGGTGACAAAGTTAGGAGGGAGACTTTTATTTTTCGTTGCATATCCTTTTAAATTTTATACGATGTCCATCGTTACCTATTTAAAAATTATTAATTTCAAGACCATTGGGTGTATGATATCAAATTGTTAGGTCAAGAGGAGTCCCCCAAACCATCTTGTTAGTATCAAGCCTGTCTTTCTCTAAAAAAAATTTGTAATTTTCTCTTTTCTTCCGAATGTATATATTTTACACAATTATCATATATATAAAAATGAAACTGAAGAGGAATTTTCCACTCAAAAGGCTGTAAACAGCTCTTTGTTCTGCTTCTGTAGATAAGATATGCTTGCCGCATAGGCCAAAAGGCAGGGTGACCTCGAAATTAACTAAAGACTCATCCTCCCTTTTGCTTGATCTGTCTAGATAACAGATGTATTGCTTGAGTTCCTGTCTGAATATCTCGTGCTCTGTGCCTGCCTGTAATCCATAGCAACTCCAGCACTCTGTAACTGCCTCAGGACAAATTAATCAATCGGCCCATGCCAACTGTAACTGCGTGGATAAGTTCTATAAAAGCAAGATTGCCCCTGAGCTCAGGGCCCAGATCTTTAGAGTGCTAGCTTTTCTGGGACCGCTGGAGTAATAAACCTGAGTTCTCCAACACTCTGAGTGGTGCTTGGTTTCTTGCCGGTATGATTTTTCTGCAACAAAACTTTCATTGACATAAGAAACGTCCAAACCTGTAGAGAGTTTTTATGAGTTTATTTGAGCTAAACTGATGACAATTGCCAGGAAGCAAAAACTCTCAACAGATTGAGAAAACACTCTAGAGAATGGCAGTTTTGCAGCTTATCTTATACATTAGAATCAAAGAAGGAGATATTAGGAGGGTTACATGAAATCCACTGGTGGTAGATTAAGAGGGCAGGAGAAAGCAAAGGGAGAATATCTGGAATTGGATAAAAAATCAAAATGGAGAGACATGTACTTCTTTTACACTGGCAGGTACAGGCTAGTTAACATTTACAGCACATAGAGATGGTTTGTGGGCAACAAGATAACAATGTGGTCTCATGCTCTGGTGCCAGCGGTTGCGCCTTCAAGTGATCTGGAAAAGAAAATGCTGACTCAAAGGTATGTTATCTTAGATACACAAAGATAAGAGACAGTCTCACCTAAGGCAAAGAGTAACCTTTGTCAAGGAAGCTCCAGGCCTAGGATATAACTACCCATCATGACCCACTTTTCGTCAGGAATTTTTATGTTCAGGCCATCCTATGTGGTTACTTTTGGTCTCCGAGTTCGTAAGGCCAGCCATGCAGGCCTCCTTGAGCTTGTCAGGTTTAGTACATGGCCCTTTTTCATCCACACTATTTTAAAAGTAGAAAAATGCAGTTATAATTTTGTTTCAACTTCTACATCTTTTTCCATTTTCTTGTCTGCTTAGACTCACGGGAACCTGAGCAGCGAGGAGTTAAGAAGGGAGAACAAGTGGAGACAACTAGAAAAGAGAGAAGACAAGCCCCTTGAGTCTGTGAAGGGTGAGTATGGAGAGCAGCCGCGTGGCCACTGGGCTCGGTCATCAGGAAGAACTGTGGTTTCTTTCACTGTCTGCAGTTTGACTCGCATCCTTGGTCCCTACTTCTGCTTTCTCAGCTCTTTGCCGCCCAGGAGGAAAATGCCTATGTCATGAGAGCATTACAGAAGATTCTGGGTTAGGGTGAGAGAGAGAGAGAGGACAGAAAGTTTGCATAAACCAGAACACGAGGAAACAGAGTCCCTCCTATCTGGAAAGGGAAATGTCAGAGACAGGCACTGCAAGAGCAGAAAAACACAAGCCTGACTGACAGAAGTTGTTCCGCAAACAGCTCCCATCCCCTGTCCCGCTTTGTTTGTTCTCGTTCCGGCCCCCATCCAAGAAACACAGAGAAACCGCAACTAAAAAGTCAAGTACACAAATACCAACTGCCTGGTTTCGGAGCGGGGAAGGAAGTTTTAGAAAAGAGGAGAAAGGAAAAAACAAAAGTCGTATTGTGCAACAGGTGAAGTCTAACATTGCCCCACAGTGAGGATTCCATGCTTTCATTTGTCATTCCTGGGTGAAGCCTTTCTTCATGAGGGTATTCAGCTCACCAGCAACCTTCCCTGGCGATGCGGCCCCTGTGGAACTAAGTTCCTCCCTTTCAATTTGCTCAGGGGTGGGGAAGTGTAGGGGAAAGGATTCCATTGTGAGGGAGGAGACTCTGGCCCCAAACCTCTAATAATACAACCAAAGGCAAGTCATGGCTCTGCTCTAGACTTCATTTGACAAATGAGAGGATAGAATCTTCCAAACAGGAAGCCAAGACATCTGCTCCCCCAGAAGAACACAGGAGTCTCAAGAAGAAGCAGGCTTCCTCTTAGCCTGGCTTGTGGGTTTTGTACCCTTGGTGAAGCTTCTGTCCTCATTCTCAGCTGCTGAAGCAGATCCTCCTCTTGAGACGTCTCACCTCGTTATATTCCATCGCCTTGGAATGTGGTCATTCCATCCAGGGTTTCTTCTGCAGGAAAGTTTTGTATCACCTTCTAGAATGTTCCATCACCTTTTACACTGAGCTGGAGGGGGTCACTGTTGGTGACTCTTCAGTTGGTGATTGTGTTAGCTTCCTATTGCTGCTGTAACAAATTACTACAAACGCAGTGTCCTAAAACAGCACATAGTTATTCTCTTAAAGTTCTACAAGTCGGAAGTCCAAAATCTGTTTCACTGAGCTAAAATCAAGGTGTCAATAGGACTGCGTTCCCTCTGGGGGGTTTAGGGGAGAAACCATTTCCTTGCCTTTTCTAGCTTCTACAGCTGCTTTATTTCATTCCTTGGCTCCTGGCGCCTTCCTCCAACGTCAAAGCCAGTAGCATAGCATCTTCCTTCAGCTGACACATTGTCTTCTTGTCTTCTGTCACCAAGTTTTCCTCTGCCCACTCTTATAAGGACACTTATGACTACATTTATGGCCTAACCTGATAATCCAAGATAATCTCTCCATCTCAAAATTTTTAACTTGATCATATCTGCAAAGTCCTTTTTGCCATGGAAGGTAATATTCACAGGTTCTGGGAATCAGGATGTGGACATTTGGGGGGTCATTATTCAGCCTACCACAGTGATCTATACTGTCTCAGGTCTGGGGATCATCCATTCTCTCTCCTACCACTTCCCTCAGAATAGATTTGTGTATCTTTCACAGAAGACCACACTCTAACCTTCCAGGCCACCCCAACACCCTCTCCTTTCATTTCCTTTATGCCCTCAGACTATTTTAGGACAGTGCCATGCTATGGGACTTTCCGCCATGATGAAACTGTTCTATACCTTCACTCTCCAAGAGATGACCAGTGAGAACTTGAAATGTGACTAGTGCAACTGAAGAATTAAATTTAATTGAAATTTAAATAGCCACTTTGTGGCAAGCAGCTAACATATTGAACAGCTCAGCTCTAGGTAGATGAAAAGCAGAAGCCACGACCAGTGAGATTCCTTGCTGCTAGCCTCTTCTCATACTTTTTTGGACCAGCTCTGCCCCAACCTCCTTCTCTCAGTCCTTGTGGAATCTAGAGGAGGCTTCTACTGGGGCTCTGGGATGATGGGCTGAGGACAGGGCAAGGAAAGGAATTGTATCTGTTGGCCTCAGAGTGGAACAGGCTCCCAGTTCTGCTTTTGCACTGGACTAAGAAAATAATGATCAAGGTTGCCCCCTCTTTCCTCTATATTTACACAATGGGTTTTTCTTTGGGGGACCACAGAGTAGCAAGTAGCACAGAAAATAGGGCTAACTTGGGACTTGGCACTGACCATCCTACTCTATCACACACCTGCTCAGTGGCCTTTAGCGAGTCACTTCCCTGTCCCTGGCCCTTGGTTTTCATAATATGAGAGGGCTGGACCAGATAATCTGAGAGGTTCCTGCCAGCTTTAATAGACGATTTTATGTCCTGTGGATCAAGGCTTGATTGTGCATGCATTCTATCTCAGACCCATGTTCTCTCTGACCTTTGTAATAGGAAGTTCTGATTGAAAGGCTATTAAGGACACATGCCTTTAGGTTACTCCCCCAACACTCCAGAACCAAATCTGACATTCATTCTTCTGTGCACATGACAACACTTCACATTTCCTTTGGGCTTTAGAGAGCTGATCCATTAACTCATCTAATTCACATAATGACCCTGGGAAGATAGCCGCTATGCCCATTGGAAGTGAAAAAGCTAAGGCTCAGAGAGGAAAAGAGAGAATCTTCCAGATACCAGGCCCTGTGGTGGGTACTTTACACATCAACTTATAACAGCCCTTCAAAGTGGATAATATTACCTCCACCCTGCAGTACACTGGTAAAAAGTGATGGAGGCCCACTTTTCTGATTCTGAACTACTATAACAGCCCTTCAAAGTAGATAATATTACCTCCACCCTACAGTACACTGGTAATAAGTGATGGAGGCCCACTTTTCTGATTCTGAACTACCTTGTCTGCCCTCTATGTTGTGCTGCTGCTGCTATTTACAACTTCCCTAAAAGGTATTGAAATGATAACCTTAGCATCATGGCTATCCTTTGGGGTCATCTTTCATGGTGCTCTCCAAGCAGACCTACAGACCTTAACAAGGTCACATCACCTCTGTGCCTCTGTTTCCTCATCTGTAAAGCTGGGAGGTGAGAATCCCTACTTCATAAGGGTGTTAAAATCCTTGTTGAAAGTTTTAAGCGAGATTGTGTCTTTAGAGCATTTCACCCATATGAAGTACTCAGTAATTTCTCATTCTTACTGTGTTCGGAAACTGTAGTTTGTCCCTATTAATAACATCAGGCAATTCCCTTCACTCTAAATCAAATTAAAACACAAAGAAACTGTCTACATTTTTATTAAAGTTTTATTATGAAAACACATGGAATCAACTGCATTATCCACATATCCGCAATAGCAGAGAAACAGTAATGGTAGACCATCCCCATGGGGGACATGTGTCCTTTGGCAAAAACAAACAAACAAAAATAACACATAAATAATGAAAATAACACCAAATACAATAATACAGCACATAATAAAGATTAAATTAAGAGAAGGAACAGGGACTGAGAGGCGCTGTAAACGTGGAGAGGACGCATCTCACTGAGAAGAGTAAGGCTCAGGTGACCTTCCCTGGAGGCCTCCTGCCCCTGTGCTTGAAGTGGCTCAGTTCAGTTCCAGGTCATCCATGTACTCCTGAACCCAGGGTTCACTGGGGTTGGCACAGACTTGTCTGCCCTTTTTGGTTTGAAATCTGTGAAACAAGGAGTAGCTAGATTACAATCCCATGGGACCTTGCCTACATTAGATGTTGCCCTCTGCTTGACCATAGTTTGTGTTGGACAGCTCTAGTGGATGGGAAGACCCATCCTGGGGTGGTACTGGAACCAGACCCCTTGTACCTTCCACCCTGGATTTAGCTGTGGCCTCTAAGGATGCCCAGACTAGGAACCAACGAGTTTTACAATCAATACGACTATATCTCCCCATTCATTCCCTACTGCCCCTAGCAATAAATTTCCACATTTTTCTAAGCATGGTTTAAGAAAGTCAGCCCATATTTCTTGTCATCTTTTTTACTTTCCCTGGTATGCTGGCCTCGGGCAAACTTTCTCCCCAGAAACCCTCCATCTTCTCCCTTGGCTCCACATAGCCCCCTCCAGGACTCAACAGGTGACTTCATGACCTGTTTCTCACTGCTTTCTGTGAGGCCTTCAGCCCTGAGACCTGCCTCTCTACTGTTTGATCCTCCCCCTGCCCCCAGACAGGCCCCTTATCTAATCCTGCCCTCACGTTGGCCTCTCAGAGCAGCCCAGGAGTTGATACTTACACCACAGCTGGCTGGGAGCAAAGGCTGCTGGTCTCATAGTAATCTATCACGAAGTTGCGAGGGATCTTCCGCAGGGTGTAAGAGAAGCAGCAGGCTGTCGGAGGATCTGAACCCACTGGAAAGAAAGGCTGGGGTGAGATCAAAGCTATACGAGGAGCTGATCATTTGGCTTCTAGTTATGGATATTCAGTGAGCATCTCTGTGGAGCTACCAGATCCCCACATAGAGTCCCTTGTATCCAATCCCACCAACCGTGAGTCAGAGTCTTATTTGGAATTCAGTATCCTAAGAGAAGCTCATGGAGCTGGATCAGGTCTCAGAGTAAGGTCTGACTCCCTTCATTTTACAGATGGGGAAACCAAGGCACAGAGAGAGACGGGGGCTTGCTTAAACAAGTCTGCTCATTGCTATTTCTTAAGAAAACAGGATCTCGAATATTATTGAATGTCTGCTGGACGCTACATTTAACAGCAAGCTACTTCATCGTCCCAGTTCCCTTTTGTCTCATCCCCACTGGTAGACCAGCCCCAACTAGAAAAGTGGCTGTAGAAACGCAGCTGAAAGAACAAACTTACTTGGTGCTGAGAGTGCTGGAGAGCAGAGTGCAGCCACTAGCACGAGAGCGAGGACAGTCACGCAGAGTTTCATGGTCTTGGTGGAGGAGAGGCTTTCCTGGAGCTGAGGCTACAGAACCCAGAAGCTTCAGAACCTGACTGTGTTCTGTGCTGATACTGAGTCGGGATCCCCTCTTTATAAGCAGGACTCTGAGGACTGGGACAAAAGTGGGGGCACAGGAGAGCAAGTGGAATTTCCAGGGTAAAGATGACGTCATGGTGCCAATAAGGAAACTGAAGCTAGCAGAGAGTTAGGAGCTCTGCAGAGCTTCTCTCCTTCAGGGCGGTGTCATCACAGTGGAAAGAAGAAGGAGGTGGAGGGGAGAAGAAGTGGGCTGCACCCTAGAGGGAAGTGGTACACCGAAGGTAATGATCGAGACTGAGGAGAGAATTGTAAACCCAAGAGGAAGGATGAAACATTCACACCTGCCAGAAGGGGCTTGTAGATGACAACGATGCTGCTCTTGGTGGTTGGCACCTCCAGAAGCTGGAGGCTTCACATCAGTCTTTGCAGGGTTACCACAAGCCTGGTCCCAAGAAGTAAGGGAGAGCCAGGACTCCATGTCTCATTCCTGGCCCTCCTTCTACTGGGCCGAGTAACCTTAACACTCCCCCCTGTACCATAGAGATGTGGGATAGGAGGGGGCAGAGCAGCATCTTGGAGTACTTCAGGATCACTAAATAAAGTACAATGTCATTCTACCTCCCATCACACTGTCCATCACCACTTACCTGCACACACACAAACTGTACTTCTTTCCTCCATCCTTTCTGTCCTCACCCTTTTCTTTGTGTCAGACTTGTTTCAAATGTTCTGATCTTTACCAAGGCCCTTATCCGCAACTCTGACGTTCTCTGATCCCTCATATCACATATGCCGGTGTCTCTCTTGGTCTGTCCTGGTTGGTGGAGTTTTATCTTCATGTATCAAGGACCTCGTTTTAAG